ACTTAAGCCATTTTCGAAGCGGAGAACTATTTCCGGCGTAAATTCTTCTTGCAAATGGCTAAGGAATTTTTCTGTGTTCACTGCCATGGGCGGGGGCATAGCTCCCGCGATTGTCATTAAGCTTACCCCGCCCGTGCCCCTCCGAGGCTGATAACTATCCCGTCCAACACCTCCAGCACCATCCGACATCTGTCGGCTTACCCTATTTTCTACCTTGAAAGTGGCCGTCCATCCGTGCAGGAGCTCCGGGAGATGCTAGCCTATCGATTCAATTTTAGAACGTGGCCCCACCAAATCAAGCAGGCAGCCGGAAACAGTTTCATGGTGCAGTTTCCAAGCGATCCCATACTTGGCCAAGCTATTCAACTCGGACTGATAGATATGGGCATATTTAAGGGTAGATTCCGCCGTGGGGAGGAGGATATGAGGCTAGTAACGTTGCCGCAAACTTTTCCAGTATGGATTCGGCTATTCAATGTCCCATACCACCTGTGAAATTTTGAATTTCTTCGCTCGCTGCTCATGGGAGTCGGTGAATGTGTCATGTGCTCCAGGGACGTCATAACACATTCTAACTTCGCAGACTGCAGAGTTCTTCTGAAGGTTAGGAATTTATCTAAAATCCCTAAGAGGCTTAGGTTCCGTTACATCTCCCCCGACGACGGAAACATAAAGGAAGGCTACGCCGTGACGCAGGTCCAGAGCGGGGAGAAGTTGGAATTGCTTCAGGAATCCATGCCCGAGTTAATTGAGGTTGTTTGGGACGGGAGAAACATGATGGTCGAAAGATACCAGTGGCAGGTGTTTCTCCACAACCAAGGAGTCGGGGGTTCCAATTATCCCAGAGCTCTCCCAACACCCAATGATAATCGCCCATTAGACCCAGCCGGGGCGGATAGTGGTTCCAAGGCTCCAAGCTCTCCATCCTCACATCGCTTTTGATCCAGCGAAGGTAGCAACAAATGAAGATCCGGCACCAATCGAGTCTAACGTGTAGCATGTTAGTTCTATTAGGTACCATGACTGTTTTGTTAGGTCTATTGTCTGTTTTGTTAGTTCTATTGTCTATTGTGTTAATTCTAATAGACTATTTTGTTAGCTCAATTGTCTGTTTTGTTAGTTCTATTGTCTGTTTTGATAGTTCTATTTGACTGTTTTGTTAGGTCTATTGTCTGTTTTGTTAGTTCTATTGTCTGTTTTGTTAGTTCTAATAGACTGTTTTGTTAGGTCTATTGTCTGTTTTGTTAGTTCTATTGTCTGTTGTGTTAGTTCTAATAGACTGTTTTGTTAGTTCTAATAGACTGTTTTGTTAGGTCTATTGTCTGTTTTGTTAGTTCTAATTGACTGTTTTGTTAGTTCTAATAGACTGTTTTGTTAGGTCTATTGTATGTTTTGTTAGTTCTATTGTCTGTTGTGTTAGTTCTAATAGACTGTTTTGTTAGGTCTATTATCTGCTTTGTTAGTTCTATTGTATGTTTTGTTAGTTCTATTGTCTATTGTCTGTTCTGTTAGTTCTAATGCTCAGTGTGTTAGTTGTGTTAGTTATTTTGTTAGTTCTATTAACGCTCTTGTTAGTTGTAATGAGAGTTAGTTCCATTAACGCTCAGTGTGTTAGTTCTATTTGTTTTCGTGTTAGTTCTAATGCTCAGTGTGTTAGTTCTATATACTGAGTTAGTTGTGCGGGGTAGTTCTAATGTGTAGCATGTTAGTTCTATATATTATTTTGTTAGTTCTATTGTCTGTTTTGATAGTTCTAATTGACTGTTTTGTTAGGTCTATTGTCTGCTTTGTTAGTTCTATTGTCTGTTTTGTTAGTTCTAATAGACTGTTTTGTTAGTTCTATTGTCTGTTTTGATAGTTCTAATTGACTATTTTGTTAGTTCTAATAGACTGTTTTGTTAGGTCTATTGTCTGTTTTGTTAGTTCTAATTGACTGTTTTGTTAGGTCTATTGTCTGCTTTGTTAGTTCTATTGTCTGTTTTGTTAGTTCTAATAGACTATTTTGTTAGGTCTATTGTCTGTTTTGTTAGTTCTAATTGACTGTTTTGTTAGGTCTATTGTCTGCTTTGTTAGTTCTATTGTCTATTTTGTTAGTTCTAATAGACTGTTTTGTTAGGTCTATTGTCTGTTTTGTTAGTTCTATTGTCTGTTGTGTTAGTTCTAATAGACTGTTTTGTTAGGTCTATTGTCTGCTTTGTTAGTTCTATTGTCTGTTTTGTTAGTTCTATTATCTATTGTCTGTTCTGTTAGTTCTGATGCTCAGTGTGTTAGTTGTGTTAGTTATTTTGTTAGTTCTATTAACGCTCTTGTTAGTTGTAATGAGAGTTAGTTCCATTAACGCTCAGTGTGTTAGTTCTATGTGTTTTCGTATTAGTTCTAATGCTCAGTGTGTTAGTTCTATACAGTGGCATGCTAGTTCTAATGTGTAGCATGTTAGTTCTATTAGGTACAATGTCTGTTTTGTTAGTTCTATTGTCTGTTTTGTTAGGTCTATTGTCTGTTTTGTTAGTTCTATTGACTATTTTGTTAGTTCTATTAGGTACAATGTCTGTTTTGTTAGTTCTATTGTGTTAGTTCTAATGCTCAGTGTGTTAGTTCTGTTAGTTCTATTGTTAGTTCTATTAACGCTCTTGTTAGTTCTATTGTCTGTTTTGTTAGTTCTAATAGGTACCATGTTAGATCTATTTTTAGAAGTGTGCTAGCAAATCGGACAATAGTCAGATCTATTTTCATTACATGTTTTACGACAGTCCGCGATAGTTTTATCTCAAAACACACTTAGCAAATCGGACAATAACAGATCTATTTTCATTTCAATCACACTTAGTCAGCGATGGTTTCATTACAGGTTTTACGATTATGCCCTTCCAGATGACACCGAGAACATTTAACTGGCCGGGTGTAAACAGTTCTGTTGTTGATTCGCCTGGTCTTATTTCTCCCTTTCCTTTTCGTTGTAATTGGAGGTAGGATCTGTATCTCATCCCTTGGCACGCTGCGTTTCTCGTAGTCAGGTATAGGGTAGATGATAGGCTCGTAGCTCCTTTTAAAGGCGTCAACCGTCATAAACCAGTCACAGAATTGGTAGACATCCATTTTCATAAACATAATGCTTGCGCATGCATGTTTGCAAGGGACACGGGTTACATCCCACCCACGGCAAGTGCATGTTTTATTGTCTAGATTGTAGGCTGTCTAAAAATCACAATAGATAGCTGATCCCCATAAAACACCGATGATGGAAGTTGCAATCTGACGACTTCCAGAAGGTTATAATTTGAAGACTTTCACGTAGATCGCTAAAGGTTATAATCTGACGACCTTCACGACAGCTGATGGAAGCTCTAATCAACAGCCTTCACAATCAACATCGAGAGTTACAATCTGACGACTCTCATATATCAGAGAGCTAAAGCAAAGATTAAAAAATGACGATCTTTGCAACGCTTCGACAGAAAGAGACTACAAATCGACGGTCTTTTCAAATCAAGACATGGAAGTCCTCCCCGCGTACCAGCATCAAGATGCGCCGCGTTCATAGCCACGAACGCAGCTCAAACGCAGCTCCAATCGCTGCCAAGCACAGCTCACGCAGCTCAAATCAGCCTCTGAACGCATCTCAGATCAGCATCTGAACGCAGCTTCAACCGCTGCCAGACGCAGCTCCAGCTGACTTCGAACGCAGTTCTATACTGCTGCCAAACGCAGCTTTCATCCGCTGCAAACGCAGCTTCCAATCACTGCGTTCAAGCTTCCAGACACTGCGTTTGGACACAGAATTCATGCCGAAATGCAGGATCTGTGTTTGACTCGTTCAAACACGAGTTGAACGGTTTCAAAACCGTTTCCCACGATCTGAGGGGATCACAACTCCACTCAGGAGTGATTTAAGGGGCGGTTACATCCCATTAGCCCCACTTAGGAGCGAATTAAGGAGGTGGTTACACCCCTTAATCCCCTATAAATAACAACAAACTCAACAGAGTTAAAGATCGGATTTTTGATAATCAGATCAGGGCTGGATCTTTCGAGGGGCGGTCGATTAGAACTTCTTGGCTCGTCAACAGGATCCTTAGAGCATTTCTGGAGCTTTGGAGATTGGCAACAAGATCTTCTTTATCCTTGGCTTATAACCGATTTTGGTTAAATCAACTCTTTCATAGAGTTTTAAACTCGTTCAGAGTTCTCCACAGATATTCGGATCGTCAACGAGAAGCAAACTCGACGCAAGCATTCGAGGGAGGCATCTCATCGCTACCGTGAAGAACCCAGAATTAAACAAAGGAGAGAATCAAATTCATTCTCTTCTCTTTTGTAATCAGGAATTCAAATTGTAATCGAGAGTTGAGAGAATTGTAATCATTCTTTTTCTAAACAGTTAGAGAGAATAAAATCAAGTACAATTCTTTTCTTATTTTCTTGTTACAAAATTTCCCACAAACATAGATCCACTTGACAAGATCTATAGGATTGTACTTCAAATAAGCCTGTGTGGGACTGACGAACCTCCAACGGGCGTCCATTGTCCATGTTCTCGTGGGACTGACGAACCTCCAACGGGCGTCCATTGTCCATGTTCTCCTTGAGGGCAATTTCAGCTTTGGGGCAAAGAACTTGATTCCAACTTTCAGCCATGACTCGTCGCTCATTCATGCGCACCATGATCTGTTTACGAATATGCTCTATCAGTTGGAGTATCCGTAGAAGCCTTGCCTCATGAATCCATTTGTTGAATGACTCTGCAACATTTGATGTAACGTGACCATATCTAAACATAGACAGTGTTAGTTCTATCTACTTCTATTAGTTATATGTAAGGTAATCAAATGAAATATTACTTGCCTAACTCCAGGAAAAAACGCATTGGCCCAGTTTTCTGGAGCATAGTTCATCACAATATTGTATGCACGCTCGTCAATTAGTCTGATGTCGTCCATATAATCATTCTATTCTGCTCTAGTATATTTGTAACAGGCAGATTGCAGTAGATTACCCAAGATCTAAGAATCCTTTGACTTGAATCCCAAATCCTTCAACTTTGTTCTGAAGTTCTCGACCAGATGCAGCACACAGCGAGAGTATATAGAATCAGGAAAAAATTCTCTAACTGCTTCTCTGATCCCTTTATCTGCATCTGAAATTATCACTAGCTTATGTGGAGGGTTGTATGGATCTGACCTTTCATAGAGAATGGACCACAGACCTACAAAGAGTATTGGTTAACAGCCCTTAAAGTTAACTACGAAGGAGATAGAATTATAATAGCGATATTAGAACTAGATTTCTGAAGTGTTAGTTCTGTCAGGTGTTGTGTTAGTTCTATTGTTTGTTTTGTTAGTTCTATTGTCTGTTGTGTTAGTTCTGTACAGTGTCATGTTAGTTCTAATGTGCAGAGTGTTAGTACTATTGTCTGTTGTGTTAGTTCTGTTATTGATAGTATTAGTTCTATTGTCTGTTGTGTTAGTTCTAATATTGATAGTGTTAGTCCTAGTGTCTGGCGTGGTAGTTCTGTCCACCTAAGTTTTAGATCTAATGTGCAGCGTGATAGTTCTATTTGTTCATTTTTAATAGCTGCATTTGATTGTAGTGTGTTAGTTCTATTTTTGTTGGCACCATCATGTATAATGTTGGAACTAACCTTGTAGGAACCACTTCCAGTTAACATTATTTTCTTGATCACAGATACAATAGGCCAATGGAAATATCCCCTGATTACCATCATATGTTACGGCGCTTAATAGTATACCTTTGAATCGATCTTTCAGAAAGGTTCCATCCAAAAATATAAGTGGTCTGCAACCTTGTAAAAAACCATTTATGCAGGCCGCATAGCAGATGAATATCCTTGTAAACCTACCCTCGTCTTGTTCAACATGAATGTAGCTTCCCGGATTTGTCTTCTTAACCTCGTCTACATACCTAGATAATTGAAGATTAAGCGTTAGTTTCAACATTATAAAGTTATGAGACTTATAGCGTCATATAAATGAAAACAACAGCAACTTGTGTATATATGATCTTATGATTTACCATCTCAATTGATCGTAGGACTCATAAGCATCACCATATAATCGCTCTTGAGCTCTTTCTTTACACTACCAAATCTTACTATATTCAACCCTAATCCCATATGAACTTAGAAACTCCTTCTGAACGTCAATAGGTCGTATATCCGGACGTACCTTCAACGTGGGTTGTAATTGGGTAGCAATGAAATGACGAGAGGCTCTAGATTGACCTGCATTATTAGCATGTTGTCCACAGTTGTGAATGTCCACGAACCTTTTTATTTCAAGTCTATTTTCATTTTTCGGCGGAGAGGCAAATAACATCCATGGGCAATTTTTGGCTACCTTAAACCGGCAAAAAACTCGAATACGCTTTGGTTCATTCTTCACAAACTCATATTCGAATTTTTTGGCCATGGAGTAGTATAGCAAGGCCAATCTTAACTCCTTCGCACTTTCAAAACGTTGCCCCTCCCCAGTTAACGCAGTGTGCCACCAAGCAGGAATCCTCTCAGATCTGCTAATCATGTCATCAATCATCATAACATTATCTCTTGAAGGAATGTCATTGGGATTCTTATCTGCAACAGTTGTGGACGACAACTCCGGCGGGCCACAGTCTATACTTTTCGAGTTTAGACTTCTGGAAGCGCTACAAATATTAACAACAGGAAAATAGTTAATCATAAACTACACAAATAAAAGTGTTGATAGGGGTCTAACATGCTTTAGAGTAGCTCTACCCCATATGGAACTGGTGATAGAACTAACATACAATCGTGTAGAAGTAACAAAATAGCTACTAGAACTAACAGAAACCCCTATATGTATTAATAGAACTAACATGCATGCAATCGTGTAGAACTAAGATGCATGCAATCGTGTAGAACTAACAAAATAGCCATTAGAACTAACAAAATAGCGATTAGAACTAACAAAATAGCCATTAGAACTAACAAAATAGCGATTAGAACTAACAAAATAGCCATTAGAACTAACAAAAACCCGTTCAGCAACAACACGTTGATTAGAACTAACAGGTCAACGATTACAACTAACATATTGTTGAAATGCATCTGAAATCCAGTTTAACATTCAACATAGACAAAAAGAAGACGATTAGCACTAGCGTTCGTTTACTTCGCAGTTAACCTACATGTCTTGTGGGACTTGCTCTTTGCAAGGTTGGACTCGCTCATTGCAGTGTATATTCTGCAAATCATCAGCTTCTTTAAAAGCTTTCATGTGAACCTCTTTTAGTCCAAGATTGTGGCAATGCTCCACCATAGACATCATGTCCCCCTCGTTCTCAATAGGAAATTTCTAGCTTCCAGCTGTTTCATCTTTGTCTGACAGAATTAATTACTCATATGGAATACCTAACCTCTCTGCCACATCAAATTTGAGATCCAGGATGGTGGTTGAGGAGTTAATCTTCAAAAATACCGCTTTATACCCCGAAGAGACAATGCAAATGATGTCCTTCTCAGCCATTTTGAAGAGAAGGTAAGATTAATGGCGCGAGTAAAGGAGAGAATTTTGGTCTGAGGAGAAGTAATGGATAACTAAATAGTTATTGCTCATGATGGGAAAAAAAGGGGGAAATTTCCCTCCATTTCTTCTATCTTATCGCATTAAAGAGGAGTGTCTACTGTTAAGAGACGGCGCCTCGTCTGGGGAAGAAGGAGAAGGGCAGTATCGCCTTTTTTGAAAAAATACAATCTGCTTTTGTACAACGCTGACGTGGAGGGGGCTTAAAATATTAGTCTTCACTTTTAGGGGCTAATACACATGGGCCGAAATACGAGGGGGCTTGTCACATGAAGTTCCTACTTTTGGGGCCTGGACACAATTTTCCCAACTTATAAATGTTTTGACAAATTTTCTTTGTGATCATGTATATAAGAAAGATGTGTCCATTATTTACATTGATACAAAATATCCTTTTTAGTGAACATCTTTGCCTAACCACTTTGCTTAGAGATTTCTTTTGGCAATTTAAGCATGTTTGTCATTTGAATCATGTATTTGCTCAATCATTTTTTGTTAAAATGATACTTTATGCTTTTCCATGAACTCTCATTCGGACTCTCTTTTGGTATCATTTTTATTGTCTTTCTTGGATTCATGGATTTTCATGAACAATATTTTGGTTTTCATAAGTTTTCATGAACTTATACTTTGTTTTTATGTTTTGAGACATCATTCTCATAATAATGTATTTATATATTATGGTTTGATAAGTTATGAATTTTCTTTTGGATTTATTGACAAATCATTTGATTCTTGATTTTTGATTTTTAAACCTTTGATTTTTATTTTTGGGATTTTTTTGATATATATCCTATGGATATATATTTATGTTTTAGACTCTTGTGACTCTATTCTTAATGATACATATATGTGATCACTTGGCCTTCTTTAATGTGAGTTGTGTTTAGGATATTCTATATCCATGCTTACTCACATTTATTTGTCATGCTCATCATTGCATACTTTCCATATGGCAGTTTGATAGGGGGAGTCATCATTATATCTATTTTTGTTTATACTCACCTGTGCATAAATGCAGGGAAGCTTTGCTCATGTTTTCCCCTTTTTGATGTTGTCAAAGTGTGAGAAAAGGTGGTTTATTGGTTTATTCTATGGTTTCATGTGTAATTCATATTTAATGTTTTTTATATATTTTATAAATTATTTGTCATTATCAAAAAGGGGAAGATTGTTGGCCCTTTTGTTTTGATGATGATTTTTCAAACAATTTATAACTAATTTGTTTCCTAATGGTTGTCGTTTGTTTATTTTTTTTTTTCAAGATATCTATATATGATGAAAAACCATTCATATCAGAGTTAAAGATTCAAGATCAAGCTTTGTGCGCAACCACTTAGGTATATTAGTAGTTTTATAACGTATATTGTGTGAATATATTTCAAGCTCAATATATATATATACACACACATAATTTTGATTTTTAATACAAAATGAGTTTATTTGAGAAAGATATACAATATTGGTTTATTAATCTTGCTTACAATACATTCATGTTTTATAACGTTTAAAAAAACATCTCATAAAGTTTCCACATGTCCTTACATGTCAAACTTTATTTTCAAGATTCATCAAAAACATGTATTATGTATATTTTTGCCAAACGTTGAGTTTTCACAAATACGAGGTCTTTTTTGCAAAATTTCTTTTCAAACAAGTTTGTTATTATATTTGAAATTTTTTCCAAAGTTTCATATTTTTAGAAATTTATTTACTATTTTTTAGAGACCCTAGAAATTCGTTTTTAAAAATTAAAACAGGCTGAAAATTTGTTATCAGTCGACTGATTCAAAGGATCAGTCGATGAATCAGTCGACTGACGAAACTGGCCAGAATCATCAAAAAGTCTCTGCTTTTACGATTAACATTCTATCAGTCGACTGATGACCCTTCTGTCGACTGATTAGCTCTTCAGTCGACCGATAGGCTGCAAACCGCTTACAACGGTCAGCTCATCAGTCGACTGACTAACTCCGTCAGTCGACTGATAAGCTTCCAACGGCTAGTTTTGTACAGTTTCCAGATTTCTCGGTTTTTGAACATTTTTGTTTGTTTCTTTGGGTTTTGACTGATGTTTGAGTGGTTATAAATACCCTATTGCATTTAACTCTTTCGTCCATCAAGAAAATTGTTTAATCAAGTTTTAGAAGAGTTTAGTTTGTGTTTAAGCATTATTTTAAGTTTCGTTTCAAAAGAGAAGTTTTACACAAGAAGAGGCTTTTGATTTCAACTGAGGAATTCATCCTCATCATCATATCTACAGCTCCTTGTGCTTATAGAGAAGATTTCTAACTCTTTTATCTAGCTTATTTATTATTTGATTTTCATATTCGTATCTTAGCTAGTTTTATTTGAGTTAGAATTTTATTGTTCTCATTTATCACTCATACCTCAATTGAGCTTTTAATATTATTCATTCAATATGTTGTTGGATAGTGGTGAGTGATGTTGTGAGAGTGAGGTTCATTGTGTTCTCATTCATTATTAGAGAACTAATTATTGTATTTGAGCTTTATTTGTGAGTATCACTTTGTAATACACATTTACACCGAGAGGAGTGTGCGGTGAGGACGTAAGTCGATTCCAAGAGAAGTGACATCGGTAGTAAAGCCTAGTGAGAGGTAGTAAAGCCGAGCATTTGAGGGAGATGATACGTGAGGATCAACACTTGAGGTTGTAGTTTGTGTATGTACATTGTGAGAGGTTTGTAGAATTTTCAGTGAACTAGATAACCGAGTGTGTAGATAAGTTTCGGCTTTCAAACCGGGTGTGTCGATATAGTGGAGATCTTCTCGAGGCGAGGAGTGGAGACGTAGGTCAAGGGTTGACCAAACTCCGTGATCATATCTTGTGTTTGAGTTTGCTTTATGTATATTTTTTTGTGCTTATAATTTATATTCTTGCTCATAACTCATTCATATGTATATTTATTTTGTGCTTGTTATTTACATTCTTGCTCATAACTCATTCATATATCTTTTACAATACTTAATTAATCAAGAAAGTTTTTAATTGGCATAAAATCGGAATTAGATTAGCATTGACCCTATTCACCCACCTCCCCCCTCTAGAGTCTAACACCCTCTCCCAAGGGATCAAGATGCCCGTAGTTTATACAAATAGCCTCAAAATGCCTCAGCAAGCACAAATCCGCAACAAGCTTCTACAATAATCGAACTTGTTGCTGGGGACCAACTTCGTGAGCATATCTACTTGATTGTCTTTTGTTTGGAACTTCACGAGCTCCACATCCCCATCTTCAAGAACATCATGGACAAAGTGATAACGAACGTCAATGTGCTTCGTCCTTGCATGGAAAACCTAATTTTTTTGCCAAATAGTTAGCACTCATATTATCACAATGAATGATGACGGATCACTACAAAACACCAAGATCTTCCAAAAGTCCTTGAAGCTAAATCACATCCTTAATAGCAGCCGTAATCGCTATATACTTTTCCTCCGTCGTCGACAAAGCAACTGTAGACTGCAATGTGAATCTCCAACACACCGTCGCACGGATCAAAGTGAACACATCCCCCATCGTAGGTCGGTGCTTATCCAAATCTCCAGCGTTGTCTGAATCAACATAACCAATACACAGCTGCCCACCACTTGTGTCCCGCTGAAACACCAAACCAACGTTGAGAGTACCTCGAATGTACCTCAAAATCCACCTCACGGTATCCTAATGACCCGAACTCGTATCGTGCATGTATCGTGAAACAATGCTAACTACTTGTGACAAATCTTCCTATGCATAGCCCTTCGATTCCAATCTAACTTTGAACCTCACCGCTCTTAATGCCCTCCTTCTTAGTATACACTCATTTGCAACAAATTACCTTCTGCCCCTTTGGAAGCTCGACAGCTCCTATGTGTCGTTCTTTTGAAAAGACTTCATCTCCTCCTGCATAGCTTCCTGCCAGAGCCTTACTGAATGTAGTAAGAATCAACTCATTAACACTCTATAGCGGAAGTGTATATGTATACCTCGCTGGCAACTATATGTCTCTCCTGGGTCTTCGAACCACAATGGAATTCTGAACCTGAGTCATCGGTCCCTGATCCTGCTCTGCTAAACCTGTATACTCCAAATCATCATTATGCTCGCCTAGCATCACCTCAGTCGGCACTCTAATAGATACGGTCCCATCTGGACACTATAGAGCTGCATCAATTTCTACCATTTACGATGTCTCCTTTGTCGGGGTGCTCTCCACCTGATGAGAGCTGAAAGGCTTCAAGAGCGAAGCCTCATCAAAAGTGACGTCTCTACTCAGCATAATCTTCTTATCAACTGGGTCCTAAAGCTTGTATCCTTTAACACCACGCTTGAATCCCATAAATAATGGCATTGCTAGCTCGATGTTTTAATTTATTAGTCTTTACATGATAAAATGCAGGGCACCCAAATACCTTAAGCTGATCATAGTCGTGTGCTGGCTCTCCCAACCACATCTTCATAGGGGTCTTCCCCTCAATCGTAGATGAAGGCAGCCTATTAATGAGGTGGCTCGCATATGAAAGTGTCTCAGCCCAAAAAATCTTCTCCAAACCACTCTGCGATAATAAATATTGGACATTCTCCAGTAAAGACCGATTCAACCTCTTTGCCACCCTATTCTGGTGTAACGTATGACTAACTGTGAAGTACCTCTCTATGCCATCGTCTCGACGTAGCTACTGAAAGGGATCTGAAGTATACTCTCCACCATTGTCTGATCTTAACGTCTTGATCT